TTCATTTGGTTGATAGGTTAGTAAACACTAAACATTGAATATCCAATTACGGTTATCGAGTTTCCTTTTTAGATGATTAGGCAGCAGATTTCTTGGTGATCAACTAGTGTAAGTAGCTAGCGATAAGAAAAGTTGAATTGTCATAATCTAATTCATTTGATGAATTACCGACTCTAGAAAATGGAGGGAAATTATAGGCTTAATCAATTGGTGTGCTTGCACTGCTATTCGGACTTATGATGGGATTCTTGAATCATTTAGACTAAATAGTTGTACATTAGAGTTTTAACAAGCATCAAAGTTATAGAAGTGATAATGATATAGATAATGTGTTGGTTTTTAGTTTTTGACAAAAAGAAAGTGCGAGTAACAATATGAGCAATATGTTTTTTTATATATATAAATGTAAAGCATTATTTTTTAAATACATAAAATTTCAACTTCCAACTAAATAAATAACTCCTAAATTCTAAAAACATGAGACATAACTAACATAAGCATGACTAATACTATCTCCACTAACTCCTAAACTTTTGGAACAAGGATGGACATGAAGCATGACTAACAACCTTAAACATTGGAACATGACTAATAACTTCTAAGTCATGACATTCAACACTCCTCATTAGCTCTAGAGTTGCAAACTCCAAGTCTCCGCCCCAAAACTCATATCTAGCTTTAGGAAGTGTTTTTGTTAACATATCAACATTCTAATTTTTTTGTTTTATGTAAATCAATTGTACTTCTTCCTCTTTTTGTACCTCTCTCAAGAAATAGAGTTTCAACTTGAAATGTTTTATCTAGGCCTTTTCAATCATCACATGGCTTATGGTCCAGATAAATAAAAGCCGAACACAAGCACCTCAAATATCCATCACTCTTCCTCCTACAAAAATTAAGTGATGATAGTGTTTTTGTCAAGTTCCCGTTGCGAGATTGACCTCGAGGGACACCACTTTTGAACACATTAGCTACTTCAAAGTCGACCATTCTTTCAACTAATGGTAGCAGTACCAACCTATATATTACTAGTGCCAAGAACCTTATTCGATCGTGTTATCATGATCATTCAAATGTTTTTGAATTCTGATTGTAGCACATTCTAAAACCATCTTTAACTCTGACCCTTATTGGTTGCTTGTTTAAACACCGTCATAAAATCAATTCTAACAAGCCATGCAAAGTTGGTTGGTGCTTTGCTCGAGTCAACTATAAAAGTATACAACATATGCTTTAGGAAGGTCTAGCAAGGTCCCATATTCTTCAAGTGTAGGTAATAGATTTAACTTTTGAAGGTGAAGCAGTGGTATTCAAGGTCTCGGCGTCCTATCATGTCTTGAAAATAGGAGATCTAAGTTTTTACTCTAAGTAGTTGAGCTATGTCACCATATGATTTTTGAAAATCAAACCGATCTTGGGATGTAAGAATTTCCTAACAATCAAGGAGTGAGCCCATATTGGTCATTCTAGTAGCTCATCCCATCTTTTACGTCACTTTTCTCATAAAGTTTAGGGGTAAATAATCTCTATCCTTAAATTGAGTATGTTCTAATCTGGTTCTAAAATCCTTAATAGCATTCTCTCGTCATGATTTTTTTTTTTTGTGATAGTTTATAGAAACAATCGTTAGAATTGACATCATTTACAGCTAGTTCATATCTTAAATGGATAATCCTGGTAGATAAGATCTAGCTTTTAGGGTTTAAGCAAAACTTATCTAATCCTAAAGTCCTTTTAAGTTTTTGAACTGTCTAAATTACTAGTGGGGTAATTCAACCGTTAACGTTATGTATCAAAAGGAATGGGAAGGTCATTTTATAATTTTTTATGCATTTGGTGGGTTCCAGTCAAGCGAGAGTCTAAAAGATTATCAATAGACTTTCATCAAACTTGTCTACGAATCCCTCTATCTAAATTCTAATAGGATTTTAGCTCAAATCCGGAGCTTCACAAGTTATTTTTTATGGTACATGCAAAAGTTCAAAGCAAACACATCCAACCCAATTCACATAATATGTACAAAAATTTAAATAACATGAATTAAAGGACTTGAAATATATACAAAAATTAAAATACTAGAAATAAATTAACTAAAATAAATAACTAAAAAATAAATGGCTTGGAAAATAAATGGTAAAAATAAATGAGATAAATTAAACAAAACTAAACCTATGGCTTAACTCTAAATCACCATTGGACTTAGCATGCTCGTCGCTACTCGACATTTAGAGGACTTCTAAAAAAACTATTAATTGTATTAAAATTCTTTGTTGGTTTATTTATTTACGAGGATGTGAGTTAAACTAAATTTTTAGAGTCGCCACCTAGTATTAAAAGAAGTAAAGAACTAGAAAACCTCAAAATGATATTAGTTCAAAGATTTTAGGATAAGGAGTTGGTTATATCTTTGAAAAGATAACAATCACCCAAAGGTATCATCTTTGAGGAAAACTACCATGTCTAGTTTAATCCTAAAAGTTTATCTCCTAAAAATTTCTATTTTTTTCCAAATTATTTCTCAAGTCAAAATTTCAAGTTTATTACCTAAGTCAAATGAATTTTTTATTTTTATTTTTACCATCATATTGAATCGATCATCCGATTCGGTTGCTTAGAGTCTCATCAATTTAACATCGGATTCAATTTAAGTCTCGATATAATCGACATGTTAGAGAAAAACCTAATTAGTAAAGTGATTGATTTGAATTAATAACATCTATCCCTATTGGATAGGAGACTTGTTAAATTTTCTTAAAACTGTTCCTATCCTTTTTTTCCCCCTAATTGAACTAAATGACCAAAATGTCCCTCAAGCAAAATTACCAAAATGCCCTTATATGTTAAATTATAAAATTGCCCCTCAAAACCTCCTACACTATGATCGCTTGCTTCGATCATTTTCTAGTGTGTTTTAGACACGTTGACCAATCCGCACACTAGTTGAGGACCTCGTCGATCGTTTTATGGTGGTGGTCTCTGTTGATGGAGGAGGGAGATCGACGTTGGTGAATTTTCGATCGTCTCTCCCTCTTTTTTCTATGAAAATTCTGGCCACAATGAGGCTTGTAGAGGATACCAACATGCTTAGAGGATCACATGGAACATTTCTACGTGGTTAAGAGGTCAAATTTGGCCGAATCGGGGAGATTTGGCCGGTATGGGATAAACGGGTAAACTAATCGATTCATCTTCTCTTCAATTTAGCCACTTTCAATGAGATTTTTTCATGATTTAGCAGCTTCTAAGAGGATGAGGGACACTTCTATGATGGTGGGGGTTGTTGGTTTGGCGAAAAAATGATGATCTTAGCAAGTACAATATCGGGCCCGGTTATTGACTTTCTTTGGCATCTTCTTCTTCCCTAACCAATCGAGAATGATGGATCTAGTGATAGACTATCAATTGGTGGTGGTGGATCAAAGCAATTTCTATCGAAGGATCACCGATTTAAGGGAGGAAGCCGACGGATTTACTGGTTGACTCATAGGTGATCTAGGTCTTTAAGGGACTATTTTGGCGACTTTGTTGTGGGTTGAACGAGTAGATTTTTTTTTCTTAGAATCCATGACCTCTTCTACATTTTTAGTGAGAGATGAATAATTGCACCTTCTCTATATTTTCTTTTAGCTTTTTTTTATTATTTTTGGGATGAGTAATGGAGATTAGGATTTTTGTTAGGAAGATGAGTGATGGAGGCTAGGGTTTTTAGGTAAGAAAATGGGTATTGTGGCTAGTTTTTTTTTTTTTTTTTTTTGTGAGGAAAAATGGGTGATGGAGACTCCCAAAAAATGAAATGAAAAAGTTTTTATATAAGGATTTTTTTAGGGTTTCAGATAAAACCAATTTTGGTTCTTCCTTGGTTTTTTTTTTTATCAATTTTAATGTATATTTCATTATTTTTCTCCAATTAGCTCCTTAATTGAAATTGTTTAATCCTTATTCTCTTGATTTTTTTTTAATTTCACACTAATTAATTCTCAATCAAGTTTCTTGGTTTTTATCTCTTTCCAATTACATTTTTATTTGAATATTACTTGATCCTCGTTTTTCACATCATTTTCAATTGGGTCCCAAATCATCTTCTCAATTTTTTTATTTTTTTATTATTATTTTACTTTTTTATTTTTTTAATTAAAAATAGGGATTAACCGTAAGAAATTAAAATTCTAAAAAATTATATAAAAAAAAAACTAAAATCATGAAAAAGATAAACTATGAAACATTTCAATTTATTTTATTTTATTTAAAAAAAAAATTGTATGAAATGAAAGGGGAGTGTTTATTGAATAAGGCATAGTCAACTGATATCTCTATCGACTAGTGCAAATGGAAAATGTAAGTATGTGATATGTAGTTGATGCTTTCACTCTCAGTGGTTGGCAGTTTTCATCATTCCAAAGTAGCATTGTATTATATAACTACTACCTATGATATCTTAATCATGCCGTCCTTGGCCTGATTTCGTTATTCTTCATGTTTGACTTAGTTCTCTGTCTGTATTCTTACCCATGCCAATTTTTGATGTAAACAAAATAAAGTCACCGGCACCTAAGCCATGCCATTTCAAAGTAGTATAGCTTATGAAATATGGGAATTCCTTTCAGGATTTGGTCTGTGTCAATGAACCTAGTTTTCTCCTGAAACGGCAAGAAGACAGATGAGAAGAATGCTGCATACATTATTAGTTACTGAAGTTCATTGCAATCTTCACTCTTCAGACGCTCATTTGAAAAAAATAAAATAAAAAATTAAGTTCCATTGATTTTTCATATAAAAAACCTTGTTTTATTTGTTAAATTACTTCAAGGACATGATCCTGAACCACTCTGTTGGCAATCAATTTTTAATTTGTTTGCTGAAAAAATTTTCACACATAATGCTGGCTTTAAAATTATCAGACAAATCACAGATACAAATTCCTGCTTGAAAGCACCTCCTAGCCCGCGTCAGTTGGCAGAAGTTTTCATAGGCCTCCTTTCTTGAAACTTTTAGAACATTTCTCATATCTTGAACGATAGAAGCAAGGAAGAAGCTTCCAACAACATGAAGACCTTGAACTCATCTGCAAGATAAAGCTCACTAAAATCATGCATTACCTTTCATATGCAAATAGTGTGTGAACATGCCCGTATGATGCTATAGTTGATCTATGGACTTCTATTTAGTCTGAAGTTGGTCAATGCTATAGGAAAAATAGTAAAGGCTTGAAAATTTTGTAGAAAATGTCTTGTTGTAAAAGCAAAATAAAAAAAAAATGAATAACCAGAACATTCTTTTGTGATCAGAGAATTTACCATGTTTGAATTAGGACTCTGATCTTTAATGCCTGCCCTGCTCCCGTATCCATTTTCTGTTATCTTTTCCCCAGTTTGGCCCAAGAATGCATCATTATACCAGTCAGTCGGACCTCTATAAAGGGGATTAGTCACTGGTTTATTAGGATAATCGAGTTGTTGAACTCCTTGAGGCACTGCCACATTGTCTGACTTGATCTTTGCTTCAACTTCAGGAACATCTTTAATATCTTGAGAACCAGCTTCCATATTTGTAGAATGTGGGTGATGATGAGTACTTGGATAAGACTTGAGCAAATCTATTGAAAAGCACATCTCACTGAATTGATAACTTGAGATTGTCACGTCATCAGAAGTTGGGGTTGATTGATCTTTATATAGAGATCGTTGTCCTGGACTTGGAGAAGTTTTAGGCATGTATGGTTCTGAATAAGACATACCAAACCGTCCAATCCTGCTGTCTTTTACGTTGTGGTGCTCCCTGGGGCTACGCAATCTCTTATCCCATCCAGCCACTGCAGTGCTGACTGCTTCTTGGGTATTCCTCGTATTGTTCCTTTCAACTCTCTGTACAATTAGCTGCATTAGTTCATTACTTTCACTTCCATAATCTATCTTTTGGTCGGCCTCCATTATCAATGCTGAAGAGTATATAATCTGCCTTGTTAAAGCATCAGGTGGTGTCACAGGTTCTGCTTTTTGATTGGAAATGGCACAAGCAATATGCGTATCAAACTCGCAGAAGCCACATCTATACGTCCACCCCTTAAAACTTGGTTTCAAGCATAGATCGCAACTACAGTCATATGGAGGTGAAAATTCTAAGTTTAGTGTGTGAGGATGGGCAGAGGTCATAACCGAAAGCGGCAGTGCTGAGCATAAGAAATGATAGTAAATGCTAGATTCGGCAACGTTGTAGGAGAAACCAGTGATGTAAAATCCACAAGCCTCACACTTGAAGTTGCTATTGTCCGATGGAGGTGAAACCAAAAGGGTTAGATATTGATCTGGATGTGCAGGGTGTCTGGTTTTTCTAGGCATATTGGAACATGCGCGGTGAAGAAAAAATGAGCAGATTTTGCAGTTGTAGTAGTCCTTTCCAGGCAATATTCTGAGGCTGCACCCCTCACAGTTAATGTTTCCAATGGAAGGGGCAACCGTATGCTCTAATGGATGTTGATGGCTAAAATGGTGAAAGGTATGTTCCTCTGCAACTTCCATCTTCACCTTCACTAACAAATCTTTAATTCTTTCTCTTAGCCCTCAGAATTTTCCGTCTCCCTCTGTTGTTTGGTGGCCTTAGGATTGTACGAAGTAGTTTGAAATGCTTCAAGTAATTGAATGTTTAAGGGAGAGCCTTTATCTTGGAGGATCCGCTAATACTCCAAAAAACTGTTAATTGTGAATGATCATCTCCTTGTTGAATTAATTGACAGGAAGGATCTGAGTAAAGAAAGCAACGGAATTGGGAGAGAGATGACCTTTGGGAAATCCCCTATAGAACAAAGAATGAAAAACAAATATTTTCCTTATTCAGCCGGCACATTTACAGCATTAGCTGACAACATTAGACACTTCAGTCCTTGGTGGCTGAACTATGCAGAGTATATAACAAGGGCTGACAGTTTTCAGCTAGCAGAACTGAACAGCTAATTATGAAATTTCTTAAGGAGTTGGTGCCTAATTCTTTTCATTAAGGAGCTGAACGGCTAATTATGAAATTTCGTAAGGGGCGAAACTTGGATTGAGCTCCCCGCAAGTTAGCAGGGTAACGTGGCTACCACCACGTATGTCATGGACCCAGTTTTATATATATATATATATATATATATATTTAGTGTTATGGATTCTTTATCCAATTTATTAATACAAAAAAATTAAATATTAATAAAACTTTGAGAATTTTCAAAAAAAAAATGTTTATGACATAAAAGAAGTATGAAACTTGGAAGGGAAAGAAAAAAGAAATTAAGTAAAAATTGTTTTATAGAGATTTGTTATCTTGAAAAATAATTAAAACATAATGAACTTCAAAGATTTCTATATATTTTTTAATATTATATATGTGTGTGCACGTGCGTACGCACATGTCCATTAACATTTAAAATCTTTAACATTGATTTTCACTAACCACCTCTTTCGATAGTAGAATATAAGAGAATATTGAAAATACCACCTTCCATAATACCTGAAAAATAAAAAATAAAAAAGCTCACACCAAATTATAATAGTGGTAATAAGAGGAAGTGTTATAGCAAATTAAATCAATGGAGACAAGCAAAGGAAAAAAAGGAAAAAAGACTATGTTAAATCAGAGACCTCATTGACAACAAATGTTACAAATTCATTTGATATAGTTGCTAACTAGTTTGTTATTTGTGCTATACTATAGGTCGGGCGAGAATCACATTATTTTAATTTGATATCCCACGTTATATTATGGATTTTTTAAAAATAAATTGAATCAAAAAGTTTTTTAAAAAAATCAAATCTAATAACTTTTTAATCAAAATCTTGTGTTTAATTGATTATTCCTTATGTATTTCATAAATTTTCACTTGAAACAAAAAATATGATTTGTTATTTTCTATACATTGATTCTTAAATAAAAACCTTCAACAATCTAAATAGAAAGTTAAATTTAGAATTTTTAAAAGAATATATATTCAATCATAAAATAATCAATAATATAACATTAAAACCCGTATTTGAATAATTGGGCATCATTTGAAAAAAAAAATTAATTATTTTATTCGAAAGAAACTAATTTTAAAATATCCAAAAAAATGTTTTTTCTAATCTCTCAATAATATAACATTCAAACCCGTATTTGAATAATTGGGAATCATTTTAAAAAAAATTATTTTAATTATTTTATTCAAATGAAACTAATTCTAAAATATCCACACAAAAAAAAACATTTTCTAATCTTTAGAGTATATATATATATCCAAAACATCCAACAAATAAATTATATTAATATATAAAAAAATCATATTTTCTTAATAAATAAAATTATATATTAAAACTATAAATTAATTGGATATTTTCCTAAAACATGACAAATATAAGAAATCATCTTAAATTTTGAAAGAAAAAAAATCAGAAATTACAAATAAAAAAATCATATTTCTTCATTCATCAAACTATATGGAAAAAAAAATTATTTTTTTCATAAATTTTACTCAAAATAAATAATAAAAAACAATAAAAATTACTGGAATAAAGAAAACAATGGACGATGCGTCTTCTATTGCTTCAATAAATAAACAGCAAAAAACTCTAAAGTTTTTAGTGTTTTATTTAATGATGTTATTGCAAAAAAATTTTTAAAAAAAATGTATTCTAGCAATAGCTAGAGGACTACACAAATGAGAAAATAAAATAAATAATTTAATTCTATTTGAATATTTTACCTTCAATTTGAACAATATCATAAAAATATAAATCATAGTAAAAACTAAATATAAATAGACCATCAACGCAAATGCTAGTATTCAACTAGTTAGAATATTATTTTCTTTTCTTTTCTTTTTTTTTTTTTTTTTTTTTTTTGAGAATTGTGTTTGTTCTTTAAATATTATTTTTTTCCTTGGTAGTTTACAAAATCAAAAGTCGCTATTTTTTTTTTTTTATCAAACATCATGAAAATTCCTATATCTAAAATGACTCAATGCAATAATGGCGAACAAATCGAGCATTGCTCATCGCATTTTTTGTCTTTTTTTTTTCTTTTCCATTTTGAACCTCAATGTTCACAATGTTTGTGAAAACCAGTTCCGAACCCGATAACGCTGTGCTCTTGGACTTTTAAACTCTGATCCATATATTAACCTCAACTATCAATACATGGGCTTAAACCTAAAGAGGAATTTAAATGTATCTAATCAAACAACGTTAGTACGGTACTCAATTAAAAGGTTGTTGCTCAAGGCCCAACGCTGCTGGGAAGCCAGCAGAGGCTTATAGCCCAAAATAATTGATCATGATCGGTCAGATCATCTCCTTGACAGGGCAGATGAAGGATGAGACAGCCATTCCTTCTTTGGGCAGCCCATTAGATGCCTTCTTTTTTCTTTTCTTTTTTTCTCTGTGTCCGAAGATAATTCCTTCTTATATTATTAATTATTAAGAGAATGTGTTGAAATCCTTGATCTTGGATTCCACTTATTAGATAATGAGAGTTGTTAAAAAAATGATAATCCATCATGACTTGGATTAATGTGACCTTTTTAGGTTTATTTTTATTTTTTATTTATCACGTTTTTTTATTCTCAAATTTTTTTAATGTGATCTATTCGATTAATTTTTGGTTAACGTTTTTTTTTTTCAAAAGTGACATTTGGAAAAAAAAAATTGCCACATATAAAATTAATTTGTCATAGGTAAAAAAAAAGTCAAAAAGATTAGCTAAAATAACAAAAAAAATTAAAAATATATATATAACAAAACAAAGAACTCTTTTCTCTCATATGTAAATACAATTAAACAACATATAATACCCATTCCTTTATTTTCTCTCTTATTTGCAACTTTCTTTATTGATTTTCCAAAATCATCGCCTTCACCTTGATGTCGACTTACAACAATAACGACCCATCGACTAATAAATTTTAATATCTCACTATCGAATTACATTAGCAATGTATAAAAAATTCCAACTATAGGAGGTTGTTAGTATGCACCTTTACTACCCTTTGGACACTCGAAAGAGAATATATACAAGACCATCACTAGTCTTTCACAACCCTTCTTCCCTCGGTATTTTTACCATCAAACATCATGTAACTCTCATGGCCTAATAAGGAACGAGAGAGTGCTATTACACTATCTCACATCCGAGAGTATAAGGTAATACATTATGCCCTCTATCCCGAATCTCTATCATGTTGCATATTAGAGTTTTCTTATTCGATTCAAAGTTCAAGGCTTCCTGAATTTGACATTTAGTGCTAACAAAATTTGTGCAACCTAAACCATTTATAACTATCTTATAACATTGCATTTTTATTCTTGAATCAAAACTAGCAAGTGACAACAAGCCTAAAACCATTCATATTCCAACTAACTTGTTATCGTTCTATAATTAGAACAATTCATCAACATATCCAAATTAATATCATTTCTCATAACCCTTTTAATCTAATAAGTGTATATATTAGCATACTAAAATAACTAAAAGATCAACTAACATGATAGTCCTTACCAAGAGCTTGGAAGAGATCGAGAAGATGGACCCTTAAGGCCGAGACCTTCAATGAAGGAGGAGGTAGAAATCTATCATTATTTTTATCTTTTATTTTAGTTTTATGAGTTTTAAGATTTTCCCATGTTGAGTCTAATTTAATTACTTTGGTATTTTTGGATTTGGGCTAACTAATCGATCCTTTTTGGGTTTGGGTTTTATTTAATTTTTCTAATGGGTGTTGAATAGGCCTAGAAGAATAAGGGTTCCATAATTATTTGGATCCATATTTATTTAGCAATCCATAATCACCGAGGGATTTAGTTAGCCGGGGTCCATATTTATGTGGACTTATAAGAGGGGTCTTTAATTTTTAGGAAAGGAAATTAAGTTGAATCTCTAAGGAGGTGGAAGTTACCCATTCTATTTAGTAGATTAATGTTGGCCAAAATTCTCTCCTTTTATTTAGGGAGAATGCCGCATTTTTTGTTACCCTAGTTCTCTAGTATTTAAAGAACCTTATATGTAATTTTGAGGAAGATTTTGATGAATAAAAAAACCCTTGTGTGAGAATTTTCTCTACAACTATTCTTGAGTAATATAGAACACCAAATTTCTGTTCTTGCGTAACATAGAACACGTCCTTATCCTTGGCATCGATCAGCCAAGGTGGCAACTCGATCACGCGTCAACTTTCCAAGATGGCAACCTATCCTTGGTCAAGGCTACGTACGTATCCATCTACCTAAGAGGTTTGAGAAATTCCTATGCTAGTTTTTCCATCGAAAATAATTTTGAGCGATGAAATTCGTGAATTTTTAAAAATATCTAATGGTTTTAGAAAATTCTAAAATTTGGTTCATACCTTCCCTTATCTATTAATAATTGTGGTTAAAATTTCATAATTTTTTTTATCATTGTACTTAGGGTAACAAAATTTATTTTTAAAACATTAAAGGCTGAAATTCCAATGCTTGTTTTGGAATTTCGAGATCTATTTAGAAATTTGATTTTTGTTGTGTGTTGTGAGCTCGCT